CTCCCAACAAAGGGGAGCACCAACATGTGGGAACAATCACTTCCCTTGCTGTACTCTGAGCTCTGTGGATACAAGCTGGGTTTGGAGACCCTCTGGGAATGAATTTTGTAAATTGAGATTTCAACACAGACCTCTCTGTGCTGGTTCAGGGCCACTTTCTGCTGTTTTTTGGGTGTTTGGGGAGGAAGTTTCAAAGGTGGGAGGGTAAGAGAGAGGGAGATCAGGATTGAGAAAGAAGAAAGGAATGCACCAAGAATGCAGCCAGCCAGTTTTCTGAATCTACTCTCAAAAACCAGTCTTAGAACCACCAAAATGGTCAAGAGTGAAGAATGAGGTTTACAACACTTTCCTTTTCTTATTTGTATAATCAATACATGATTTATCAAATTTTTACTTTATGGCAAGAGGCAGAATAACTTAGCTAGTATTGGAGTCAAAAAAACCAGTGCCCAAGTATTACTTCTGACATATACCAAGCTATATGACTATGGGAAAGTCACTTGACCTCTCTGTGACTCATTTTCCTCATCTGTAAAATGAAGGGTAGGGGTGGAATTGATGGCTTCCAAAGTACTCGCTAACTCTAAATCTACGATCCTCTCATTTTCTGAAACTCTCAGTGCCCCAGGCAACTGTCTGAGACTATAAACTGCCAAAGAGTAGTTATATTGTAGGAGAGATTGTACTCCAATATCCTTCCTTCCTCTATCCTTCCCCCTCCCCCCCAAAATATATCTATTTTATATATATGTATATATATATAGTGTATGTGTGTATATATAGCTACTATTATATTATTAGTAGATATATAGTATTAGTAGATATATAGTATATTAGTAGATATATAGTATAATATATAATATATATTATATATTAGTATATATAAACTGGATATATAAGTAAAATATATACTGTATATAACATACATATAATTACAGCATATACGCTACTAATACATATGTATATATGCATATATACATATATGTATGTATATATACACATATATGTGTGTATGTGTGTGTGTATATATATACATGTGTGTGTGTGTACACAAAATAGTAACAATGTGCTCTCTCCGTGAGGCTGAGAATAGTGTTCTAGGGTAAGAAAAAATGAACCAACCATGAGATAACATTACTATGTGAATGATGATAATCTCCTACACTTCAAGATACTGTGATTTAATAAATTACCAGCAATTTAACAAAACTCAATTAACAACAAGTTAATCAATAATCAGCATTCCCTCCAGGCCTTAGTGAACAGTCTTCATGCATTTAGAGAATCAGACGATTTAGAACAGCAAGGGATGACTTGACCAAAATATTAAGTAGAAGAAGAGAGGAAGTAGAAGAATTCAAGTCCTTAAATCCTGGAATTTGAATCCAGGTCCTCTGCCTCCAAAACTAATGCTTTTTTTGTACATTACTCATTGCTTTGGGACAGCTACGTAGTATAGTGGATATAATGCTGAGCCTGAAGTTAACAAGACTCATCTTCCTGAGTTCAAATCTGGCCTCGGACATTTACTAGCTGTGTGATCCTGGACAAGTCACGTAACTGTTTGCCTCAGTCTTCTCATCTGTAAAATGAACTGGAGAAACCATTTCAGTATCTCTGCCATGAAAACCCCAAATGGAGTCATGAAGAGTCGGACAATGATTAAAACGACTAAGCAACAATAACTTTGCTGTTAAGGAAGGAAGGAAGGAAGGAAGGAAGGAAGGAAGGAAGAAAATCATTGCCCTATGGTCAGTCTTTTCATATTTAGCTATGTTAGTTCTCTGAGAGTCCCAGTCAATTTCCATGTTCATCTATAAAAAACTTTCCAGCTTGGTAGGACCTGTAAAAACTCATCTTTTTGCTGGAATGGGCTTGAAGAACTTCCAGGTCATAATAAGTCACCAAAGGCAACTTAGGTGAAAGATTAGAATGATGATCATATTAATAGTTCTCTACATTTTAATGACTTTTTTTGGCCCAGAAATTTTTTCTAAATATCATCCCCTTTTTATTCCCACAGAGACTTGTGTACTTATTAAGGTGGGTATTATAATCCTTTTTGCTGATGAAGAAAATGAGGCAGAGAGAGTCAAATGATTTGCCTGAGCCCAGTGACTGTGGAATAGCCAGGGCTAGAAACAGTGTCCTGAGTCCTAGTTGAATCTGTCTAAGGCAGGAATAATTAACCAGAGATCTGTGGACTTGTTTAATACATGCAAGTATGCATGTATATATACATATATACAAATATACATAAATATAGATACACACACATATATATACGTGTGTGTGTGTGTGTGTGTGTGTGTGTGTGTGTGTGTGTATGAACTGTATTTCAGTATAATTGGTTTCCTTTGTACTCAGTCGGTCAGTAAGTATTAACCAATTACTATGTGCCAGGCACTGTGCTGAGCACTGGAACTACAAAGACAATCAAAATTTGGTAATTTCCAGAAGGACAAAGGCCTCTCTCATATCCTAATGGTGATGTTTCTTGGCTTCTATGTTTCTGTAAAAAGAGAACTAACCGCAGTAGGAAACTTACAGGTCTATCCAAGAACTTTCACATCTTAGAAATGTTATAAATCACAGTTTTGTTTCTCACAGAGTGACTAAGGAATGGCCTATTCAAATATATGAAAAGTAGTTTTATATATAAGATCACTAGGAGAATTAACATCTAAGAAAAAAGGTTGTCGGTGAATTATTAACCCTCTATATATAAGCAGTAGATTTCATAAGATCATTAAATGTCAGAACTGGGAAGAAACTTAGGACAAAGAACATAGAATGTTAGAGTTAGGAAGAAACTTTGGAAAAAGAATATAGAATGTCCAAGCTAGAAGGGACCCTCAAACAGAGAATATAGATGTCTGAGTAGGAGGGATGTTGGATCATAGTATGCGGTGTTAGAGCTGGAATGGACTTCAGAATCTAGAGTACAACATTATAGATAGAAGGAGCCTTAGAGATCATCATACCCAATCCTTTCATTTCACACATGAGGCCCAGATAAGTTAAGTGGGTTGTCCTACACAGATTTGGTCCACACAAGTGAGCATAGCCAGGGTTCAAACTCAAGTCTTCTAATTACAAATTCAGTATATTTTTAATCAAAATATTGATAGGACACAATCTACACATGAAACCTTTATGGAGCTCTGCCTTCAGGATCTCAAAATAATTCTGAAAATCTCTTCTTTAAAAAGATGCTCGAAATCACTATTGATTAGAGAAATGCAAATCAAAATGACTATGAGGTACCACATAACACCTATCAGATTGGATAACATGACAAAACAGGTAAATGATAAATGCTGGCCAATATGGGAAAAAACTGGAACGCTAATGCATTGTTGATGAAGTTGTGAACTGACCCGACCATTCTGGAGAGCAATTTGGAACTATGCCCAAAGGGCTATGAAATTGTACATACCCTTTGACCCAGCAATACCACTTCGAGGACTGTATCCCAAAGAAATCATAAAAATGGGAAAGGACCCACATGTACAAAAATATTTATAACAGCTCTTTTTGTGATGCCAAATAACTTGAAATTGAAGGGATGCCCATCAATTGGGGAATGGCTGAACAAGTTGTTGTATATGGATGTAATGAAGTACTATTGTGCTGTAAGAAATGATGAGCAGGCAGACTTTGGAAAAACCTGGAAAGACTTACATGAACTGATGCTGAGTGAAGTGAGCAGAACCAGGGGAACATTGAACAGTGACAGCCACCTTGTGTGATGACCGACTTTGATAGACTTAGCTCTTCTCCACAAGACGAGGATCTAAGACAGCCCCAAAAGACTCATAATAGAAAATGCTCTCCACATCCACAGAAAAACTTCCACAGAATCTGAATGTACATGGAAGCATACTATCTGCTCTCCTTTTCTTTTGTTGTTTTGTTTTATTTCTTCATTGTCGTGGTTCCTCCCGTCAGTTCTAATTCTTCTTTACATCATGACCAATGGGAAAATATGCTTAATGTATATATATATACATATATGTATTACTTATACATATAAGTAGAGCCTATATCAGATTATATGCCATCTTGGGAAGGGGGGAGGAGAGAGAAGGGGAGAAAATTTAAATGAAAATGAGGGGAGTGAACTCACTGGCCTCTAAAGTCCTTTCCAACTCTCAGTTTATGATTCTGTGAACCTCAACAGTGGGTTCTCACAGTCAGTGCAGGTATAGCCTTAGCTCTGTTAAGTCCTTCCATATTGGAAAGGCTTTAGGGATGGGCCAAGTGATGGAACATGTCTTTTATTTGAAGACCAGTCTAGCTAAGCATAAGGAGGCTAAGCAGCAGAAGACTTGGCCACCAGGAAATGGATTTAATTTAGCAACAGCAGCTCTTTAAACCTTTTACTAAACTGGAGGGATTTTAATCTGCTTTGGGGAAGGGAGCACCCATAGCTGATGAAATTGCAGATCATACTACTCTTTGGGGGCAGCTAGGTGGCGCAGTGGATAGAGCACCAGCCATGGATTCAGGAGGACCTGAGTTCAAATCCAGTCTCAGACACATAACACTTACTAGCTGTGTGACCCTGGGCAAGTCACTTAACCCCATTGCCTAGCCAAAAAAAAAATTAAAAAAAAAAAAAGAAATTGCAGATCACTTAAGTATTGAAGTAGGTGTGTTATCATTATTATCAACTTCATGGATAGCATGGTAGAGTGGTGAGGGCACTGGATCAAGAAACATGGGTTCAAATACTGCCTCTGATACTTACTAGCTGTGTGACTATGGACAAGTAATTGAAACTCTCTCAGCCTCAGTTTCACCATCTGTAAAATGGTGATGATACCTCATGATTTACCTCATAATCTTTTTTGAGGTTGAAATGAGTTTGCTTTGCAAATATCACAGGTCTATGTAAATATCATCAATGGCTTTTTTCTAGTCATTACAAGGTTTGGTATGGCAGCATGATCTTACACAAAAGTTAAGTCTTTTCTTTTATTTTCTTCTCTTCCAAGCCTGACTGCCATCTTCACCTTCACCTCCGATGGGCAGACAATCCATATGTGTCAGGCACTGTGCATACTAAGGACACAGCACCTGGTCTGATCATGGGAGCAGGTAAGTAACCAAAGGGTCCTTCCCTTCTCCTCCTCCTTCTTCTCTACCACCTTTTTCTCTCATCTGTCTTTCCTTCCTTCTCTCTCTCTGTCTCTCTCTGTCTCTCTCTCTTTCTCCCTCTCCCTCTCTCCCTCCATTTTTGGCAGATAAAATGGAAGGGACTGCATGACTGGACATTAGATCTTCTCATAGTATTTGTCACCAAGATTAGCTGAGAGATTGCCAGTCAGGGATTGCAATTGCCAGTGGAGAAACCTGGAGGCAAGGAGTCAGCCAGCAAATAAGAAGACTTCAGCTTTATGCTTGATTCACTGAGGTGCTTTTGGATGCTAGAATAAGGATTAATATCATTCCCTCAGTGGTCAGGAAATGAGATTCTCTACTGCAAGTTCAATAAAAAAACAAGCAATGGATATATCAATAAGAAAGGAACAAGGCACAAAATATGCAAGGGGGAAAAAAGAAATGAAATGATAACAATTGCTAACATCTTTATGTCATTTCAAAGCTTCCAAATGTCATTCTCACAATGACCCTGTGAGGCAGGTAATGTGAGTATGATAATCCCCACTTTATAGAGGAGGAAGCTAAAGTTCTGAGATGGCCACTAGGTGGAACACTGAATTGATTGGAACTGGTGGCAAGAAAATTTGAGTTCAAATGCTACTTCAGACACTTACTACCTGTGTGACCCTGGGCAAGTCACTTAACTTCTGTTTGCCTCAACTTCCTCACTTGTAAAATGCAAATAATAATAGTACCGACCTCTCAGAGTTCTGAGAATCGAGTGAAATAACATATATAAGCACTTTGCAAACCTTGAAGTGCTATATGAAAAAACTATTGGTGTTATTGTTATTAATAGTAATGGTAATAACTCACAGTCATGAAACTCAGAAGTGTCAAGAGTTAGAATTTAAACCCAGATCTCCTGACCCCAAATCTAGCACTGTCTCCACTGCCTAATAATAATAATAATAATAATAATAATAATAATAATAATAATAATATAAACATAAAACTTAGAATAAGATTTATTTTAGATGTAGTAGCTGAAGAAGTAAAATGGAAAGCCAAGAAGGTATATCTTCAAATAATTGCCGTGTGACTTTGAGTAAGTCTGAACGCTTTCCTGGGACTCACCTTCATTATCTGTAAAATTAGAATTTTGGACTCCGATCTTGAAGGCCTCTTTTCAGTCTCATAGTCTATGTTTTGTCCTTTTCCCTGCTGAATCTCTACCCATCCCTTAAACCCAATTTAAGATGCTCCCCCTTGGTTCTGTATCACTTTAATGCACTACTCAATACTACTGTATATTACAGCTATCTGTGTATGTACCAGATCCCCCACCTAGAATGTTACCTCCATGAAGACAGGGACTGCCTTATCTCAATTTTTTGCCCACTCTAACACCTAGCATAAGGTACCCTCCACTTGGTAGGTGCTTATGAAACATTTGTTGAGTTTGGTTAATTTGGTTCTAAATTCCCTTGCAGCTCAAATATGTTATGATTCTGTGGTTGTTTATAATGTTTTGAGCTATTTCAGGAAACTGTAAATACCAAACATCTTCTAAAAACAATCCATAATTACCATGGTGACTTCTCTCTATTGCCAATTGTTATGGAGCATGAATGTGCCCGAAGTGCCTTACATTTAAGGAATAGGCATTCCTCTACTTTCTTATAAAGGCTCTGTACTCCTGGTATTGTACCTAAAATTATCTTTCTTCTCCTATAGTCATACCCTGTATAGCATTGTCTCCATGATGCTTGGGACAGTATCATTAATATAGTCCTTATATGTGGAAGCCTAGAACTGGAAGTCAACTTAGAGATCATTTCATCCAAACCTATCAAAAATGACTTTTGTTTGTTTAGAGTTCCAAAGAAATACACACAGGTTGACATAGATGTTCAGATCTGGGAAGGTCCCTAGAAGATGGACTGTCAGAACTTAGACTATTCAGTAGGATATCAGAGCTGACAGGGGTCTTAGAGCATAGAAATTAGAATGTTATGGGCAAAAGAGATCTTAGAATATAGAGTGTTGTAACTGGAAGGAACTTTAGAAAATAGAGTGTCAGAGATAGAAAAGTTTTTAATAATAATAAATAAACATCATAGCTAGCATTTATACAATGCCTACTATGTGCCATATACTGTCCTAAGCAAGCACTTTTCAAATATTATCTAATTTGATCGTCACAAAACCTTGGGAGATAAGGGCTGTATTATCCCCATTTTTACAGTTGAGGAAACTGAAGCAAACAGAAATTAAGTGACATGCCCAGAGTCACACAGGGACAGCTAGGTGGCTTAGTGGATAAAGCACCAGGCATGGAGTCAGGAAGACCTGAATTCAAATCTGGTCTCAGAAATTTATTAGCTGTGTGACCCTGGGCAAGTCACTTAACCCTGTTTGCCTCAGTTTCCTCATCTGTATTTTTGCCAGGAAAACTCCAAGTGGGGTCATGAAGAATCAGAAACGATTGAACCACAACAACAATCAGAGTCATACAGATAATAAGTGTTTGAGGCTAAATTTGAAATCAGGTCTTCCTGACTCCAAGCCCAACACTCTGTCCACTGTACCACCTAGCTGCCCCATGGAACATGGAACATAGAACATCAGAATTAAAAGAGGATTGAGGATCATAGGATCACAGATTTTAAGTTGGGGAGCTTCAAGGTCATCTAGTTCCTCTCCCTATTATTTTAGAGATGAAAAATCCCAGAAAGGAAAAGAAACTCTTTCCAAGGTAGCAAGTTCCCCAGTTTGCAGGCCAGTGTCCTCCCTGTTATATCACAGTACATCAAGTCCTTTAAAGACAAAGGAGAATGAGTCATTGGTTCGTCTATGCTGGGGAATTGTGACAGCTCATGAAGAAGGGAAATGCCAATAGAAATGTGGGTGAATGAGAGTTTTAAATTCTCAGCAGTCATTCTTAAAGAGCCAAGGGACCTCATGACCTATCCAAATGCTTTTATCTTCATATCTAAGGAAACAGTGCTTTGTAATCACTTGGAAATATCAGAGTGATCTGATAATGTAAGGTCATGTAATCCTGGCCCCAGATATTGGCTGAACCACACATCACAACCTAGGACTGGGTCACCTCCATGACCTAGGTGTCTCTAGGTCAGGGTCGTGATGATGCCCTTCACCCACTTAACTCACAGACATAGAAGAATTACACTGATAATCACAAGAAAGCTTGTGATTCTGATGTAATTCAGAAATTTGGAATCTGCTGAATTCTATCCGTGAAAATGCTCATCTCCAACTGGCATTCAAGGCCCTCTTTGATCTGAGGGCCTGCTATTCCAGTGTGAAGAGATACTGTGATAGAGAGGAAAGAATGCTCACTACTTGTGTCATGGAGTACATGAAGAAGTACAAAACCTAGTTCTGTTCTCAAGGCAACAATGTGATATGGTGGATAGCACATTTACCTGTGCTCTGGTAACTTGAGTTCAACTCTTGTGTCTGTGCTTTCTATTGGTATAAACACAATTGAATCAATTGTAACCTTTGAGCCTCAGTTTCCTCATTCATAAAGTGAAGGTAATGAGATTTGTACTACCCACATCACAGGGAACGGAGGCTTAGGAAAGTGATGGGGCTTGTCCAAAGTCATACCTGTGAGTCAGAGTTCAAACCCAAGATTTCTGATTTCTAAGACCAATAGTATTTCCTACCCTGAAACATGGCTGCCTTAAAAAATAAGCATTAGGTCTTATATTGTATCTTCCACAATATCCTACACATAGTAGTCATTCTATAATATCTTTTAATTGATTAATTGGCATTGGCAAATTAATGCTGGTCAAAGCATAGGTCCAGACTGGTAATTTCATTAGTATAGAGAACTGCTTGATGAGGAAACTCTCTTTCCAGCATTTTTTTTCTATAACTTTTGTTCTTATAGAGTTGCCTAGAGCGCTGAAAGATTAATCGACTTGCTCAGGATCGTATAGTCAACGTGTGTCAGGAAAGAATCTGAATCCAGGTCTCCTTAGCTTTTAGGTCAGCTCTCTGTTTCATATGCCAATGGCAGCATTTGAAGGCTCAAGCTCTTTTCTGAAACTGGATTATGGGATCAGAGATCTAAAACTGAAAGGACCTTGGAGGACATTTAGTCCAACCCTCTCATTTTATAGATGAGGAAACTGAAGCCTTGGTCTTCTTAGGCAAAACTAGCTAATGAGCCATTTCTTAAAAACTTTTCATGTACTTGCCTTTGGGGGTCCCTGTGACACATCAATGAAAAAAATAACAGGACCAGGAGTTCAAAGGTCTTAGTTATAAAAAAAAATGGGTTCCAATGTTGATTCAGTCATTCACTACCTATGTGACTTATCTTGAGTTTCACAGGCTCATAGATCTAAAACTAGAAGGAATCTCAAAGGGTATCTAGTCCAACCCATTTATTTTATAGGTGAAGAAACTGAGGCCCTGGGTAGTGGTGAGATTTGTGACTAAACCAGGGGGTGACACAGACAGGAAATATCAGAGGTAGGATTTGAATTCAGAGCCTCCACTGCTTACTAGTTGTGTGTGTGCCTGGGCAAATCTTTTCTCCTCTCTGAGCCTCAGTTTCCTCATCTGTAAAATAAAGGGGTTGGTCTCAATGACCTCTAAGATCCTTTCAAGCTATGTCAGTGACCCCATGAACCTGAGCCTCGAGTCAGTTGTTATCCCAGAGAATTGCCAAGGTCCTCCTTAGCTCAGTCTACCATTCCATGCTTTCTGTCACTTCTAGGTAACTGTAATCCTATCTCATCATTTTATAAACTGGTGTGAGTTTGGGAAGGGAGGGAGAGTGAGATAAAGTACATCAGTGAGATAAAGGAATAAGGAAGTCTTTTCCTGGATCTGTAGAGTAGGAAGGATTCTTGGAAATTGTATAGCATATTTCTAGAGCAAGGGGAAGGGGGAATGAAAGGGGAAAAAAAGGGAAAAAAAGGAATTTTACATGATAACTTTATTCCATA